CTTGCAGCCGCTCCAAGCAGCGAGCGCAGGGGCCGCCGCCGCCGCCTCCTCGGACGCCGCCGCTGCCCGCTCTGGCCGCCTCTCGCCTCTGCTGCCCGTGCCGCTGCCGCTCTGGCCGCCACTGGCCGGGCGAGCGAGCAGCCTGCGGGGGCAGGACGCTGCGGCGGCGGCGGCTGCGGCTCCAGCGCCACTCGGCGGCGGCCAACAGCGACACCCGGAGGCGCCGCCGCAGCACTGCAGCCGCCCTTGAGCCGCGCTCAAAGGGACCCGCATTTCGGCCGCGCTGGGGCTGCTGCTGCGGCTGCACTGGCTATGGGATCCCACCTCTATTCCAATCAGCAATCAAAGTAGGACCTGCTTAATGTGTTTTCTAAGGCCTTTACAACTGAGATGCGCTGTCGGATGGTTTTACGTCATTATCACAATTAATAGGAGGAATCAAATATTCCTAAATATTCATATCAGAGAAATAAAGGAAGGAACTCAGCTGCTCCTAATAAAACCAGGAGCAATTAATAGGAGCAATAAACGATAGCAGAGGGAAGACTTCAAGAGCATTTTTGCACTGTGTTGTTAGATCTCTTGAATTCTACTGAATTCATTATCTGGGATTAATTAATCTGAAAAATGGATCAGCCTAAAGCAACTGAAAGGATATCTATGCTAATGTAGCAGATTTATCAGTTACTGTTTTGTTTGTGATTCTTGAAATGTCCTTCTTTTTATGTCCATACTTGAGGGGCTGACAATGGCAAAGTGCAAAGCCACAAGGAGTCCTTCATAGATTCAAAAAATGCTTTCAGTTCAAAGGGTTCTTTCAAGGTCATTCAATCCCCAGCTCTGCCACGGGCAGGAACACTTTCCACTAGACTAAACCACTCAAAACCTTATCCAACATACTTTTTACCTAGAAGAATATCCATAAGTTCTCTGGGCAATGAAAACCCTTGTACTTGTCCTGCCACTACAGGCCCTGATTAAAAGGTTCTGCCCATCTTTATATGTAGCATACTTTAAAAAGGCAAAAACTTTTAAACAGTGGCTTCTTTCTTCATGCTTAAGGACACAAAATCCTTCAGCCCTTCTTTGCTGAAGAGATGGGCCAGCCCTCAGACCATTTCTGTGGTCTTTCTGGGGACTCCAGCAAGTCCATGTTTTTTTGGAATATTGGCCCCAGATCTGCATGCAGTCCCTGGCGTCTCCCAAAAAGACTTCACAGTTTATGGCCTGCTGGCCATAATACTTGTTAGGTAGCAGAGGATACATTTCTGTTCCTGAGCAGTAAGTGTATTTTGGCAAATCATGACCCATCTTATTACCCACCAATAACCCCATGCACTTCTCTGCAAGGCTGTTACAATCTCCTACTCTAATTAAACTGGAGATTACCCTGACCCAGGTGTAGGACCTTTCCCTTAGCCTTGTTGAACTTCCTGATGTTTGCACAGGCCCACTCCTCCAGCCTATCAAGGTCTCTCCAGCTGGCATCTCTGCCCTCTCACGTTTACATCAATTCATCCTGACATCCAACAGAACTCAGGGACACCTTCACATCTCCTGCCTTTCACACCTGCTGTACCATGAACAAGAGGCACTAACACGTGACGCATGGCTCAATGAAGTAATGCTGATAATCACAAGGAAACCTTCAGACATGTCAAACTAAGAAACAAAACCCAAAAATGAAAATCAGAGAAGCAAGGCAGGGAAGCATCAGGAGACAAGGAGTGATCAGAGAACCTCACTGGCAAGTCTTTGGGGTCTTCACTGGAATTCATCTCTGCAAGCACTTGGAAGTCACTGAGGTCTCCAGTTGCAAGTGCAGACCTAAAGTCTTACACCAGACTACCTAGTTATGGGATTAATTTTAAGAAAGAGTCATCATCTCTCAGCAATTCTACTGTGTGGCCTGCTGACATCTCACAAGTATCAAGCACTTCATTGTGGGCCCCTTTGTCAAGCTCTAACTTCTGAGAAATTACAGCAAATTCCCATGTTCTTTTTCTTCATATTCCTCACACACAAAATTCTGCCCTAGGTGGCTGAAGGAATTATTTGCTGCCAAACCACAGTCACTGTTTCAAAGGCAGAAGCGTTGAGTAGAAGTGCATTAAAAGACCACGACCGTACAGGACTCTTGAACAAAGTCTTGAAAGAAAGTCTGATTGCAACTGTGAAGAAACTCTACATCACTCTGTCCCACAGAGATACAAATGGATTATATAAAACATGTCAGAGACCTCAACACCAGGCATGAAATTAAACCATTGACCAGTCAAACTTACACTGACCCACCCATTTTCCTCATTCAAATCCAACCTCTCTGTCTCCTGGCTCTGCATTCATAGCCTTTGGTTGCTCCATCACTACCTGAAATCTGACTACATGGCAGCCCCAGGGAAAAGTGCATTTCATTCAATCCCATTTTAGGGAAACATATATTTATCAAAGTGTTTCTTTTAGGTGATGTCCACATTCAGGGTAGGGAGAAGAACTTCTCTCCCACCCTGGCAATTATAAGATGTCTTTTGGTGTTCCACACTGAAGAACAGAATCAAAAGTTGAAAGAGACCTTCAAGATCATCTGGTCCAACCCTCAGCCCAGCACTACCATAATCACCCCTAAACCATATCCTCAAGTGCCACATCCAGAGGCCTCCCAAACACTTCCAGAGAGGGTGACTCCACCACCTCCCTGGTAAAGTTATTCCAGTCCCTGATCACTCTTTCAGAGAAATAAACAAAATCAAATATCTCACCTGGATCTCCTGTGGTAGAACTTAAGATAATTTTCTGTCCTTCTTTCCCTTAAGACATGGCAGAAGAGACCAACCTCCACCTCACTTATCAACTCCTTTAAAGTAGTTGTAGAGAGCAATTGGATAATCCCTGAGCTACATTAAATAACTCCTATTTTCTCAGGAGTACTGAAATATCTGACCTGCTCCTCAGAAGCTTTAACAGTTTTGGTTTGTTCACAGGATTACCAGGCACAAGGAAGCCCAGCTTTACTCCTTGACATGAAGCAAACAAACAAACAAACAAAAAAGCACAGCAAGAGTGAGAAACCATCAGAAGTGTATGAACCACAGAATTATTTAGATCCCAAGCATCCCAAAAAATATAATCCTGCTCATTCCAATAATTTGACTAACTTTAAAATGTTATACTGGTCAAAAGCAATCAGCAGCTCAATGAAAAAAACATCTCAAAGGAAACAACACACAGGGGCTCTTTGAAAGCCCTACCACTCATAATGTGTGTTGAACCCAAAACTTGGCCATCTGAGTACAAACCATGCAATATCAAAAAATAGGATTCCTTCTGACTTCTTTGCAGATTTAAAAGGTTCAACCCTGGGAATCAACAAAACACAGGCCACGTCTCCACCACCACCTCCTCACACACAACACTCTCCTCAAACTCTTCACAGCTCTTCACGTGGCTATCAAAGATCTTCAAAATTGACAGAAGGACCCCACAAAAAGAATCGTTGCTTAGACAATGTTTCCTTACCGTGAATAATCTTTGCTTTCTCACCCTTTGCATGTGACAAGCAAGAGAATTTCTTACAGTGATGTTTGAAAGAAACATGTCTATGAAAGTCCTTCTCTTTCCAGCTGTAAACAG